ACGGAACGTACACACTAAAGTCTGATAAAACTTGCGAAAAAAAGAAGCTTTTGCTTCGGGGCTCACCTCTTTAGTGGATAATGGGTCGCTGGCGTTAATCAGAATCTTCCACAACTGAAAATTCTTTTCTCGTTATCTGTTCGGTAGAAATGGAACTGGGATGGATCGGTTGACAACTCACGTAAATTATGAATATAGATATATATGACGGACTCTAAATGAGTGGCCGCTAGGATTTTACCAACGGCAGTGAAAACCTGAAAGCAAATCGGATCGGAACTGTGTGATACAGAGCTCACAGTGAGGAATTGTATCGGTGCGGATCACTCAAGTTCATTACCGGCATGTTGATAGATGTAAAAGTTAACTCCCAAAAGTGCTAAAGTGCTATTCTGTTAAGTAGACTTCCTGAAGAGAGCGTCGTTACCATTGTTTGGCGATATGTGATAACATTTGACGGTACACATGACAGTGACCAGAAAATGTGAGATTAATCTCTGCCCATTTATTATAATAAATCGGTGTAGATGATGAGCGAAGTTGGCTATTGGATGTCTGATATTATCTGGTGGGGTTGTCACCGTGTATGCGTGCAAGTTCTTACTCAACCCAACTGTGCCTGATGACCTTTGACCTTCACATTGCCCAGCTCAGTGATGTTGGTGTCTGAATCCGTCTTGATGGTCTGATTCAACTTTCACAGGAATGTTTGTACACAGACGCAGAGAAAGATAACGCGAAATAGTTGGATTCACCCTGTTCTCGCTCTTATGAAATTCCCTAAAGAACCGAGGATTTTGGACGGGCACCGCCAGGGAGCTCTACTACAAAATCGGTGACTGACTAGGGATTTCAGTTAAGCACTTTAACTCCGAAAAGAACCGAACCACTTGGCAGCGAGTAAAGCTAAGCGGAGAACAATCTTCGGTCGAGCTCCTGCCAAGTTGCATCCATCGCAATTTTGAAGAAATGAAAATTTCAGAAACTGTGAGGTACCAGGTTAGTCAGTACCTCATGCTTTTAGGCAGTCCTAGTTCAAATACTTGAAAATGCCCATTGTTACAATAAAAACAAGGCCCAGTATGCGAGGGAAGTTACTGTTGATAACTTCATCAGCTGATCAATACAACGATATAAAGCTTGTTTGTTTTATTAGAATAGTGAAGAAATCGATTTGATTATGAGTGATAAATTCGTCTTGTAAATGAAACGTTAGCTGAAACTCTAGTAAGCACTGGACAATCTCTAACACAGATATATCGTGGAGTTTGAAATTCTCCAATAACCAACGGTAATAGCTTTTCTCTAACCATGCACCTCAAAAGCAGCAACGTAGACCCTTCATTGGATTTCCTTGGTCCGTAAACGA